CTATACTACATTCAAACTTTTTATTTTATAGAAATTATTTAATAAATACTAAGAATCTGATGAGTGACGAATCGTTCGATTGTTTTAAGCTTCATACCTGTCCTTTCGTTAAAAATTTATTGACATTTTAATTAACAATGTTAGTACTTTTAGATTTACAATAAAATTTCGTACATATTCCGTTTATGTTTTATTGTAGATTTCCTTATTAGAAATTGTTAATATTCATTATTCGTTTCAGGACCTCTTTGTTACTGTATCATTATTCATTATTTTATAAAATAGCAATTTCATGTAATTGTTATTTCAGATCTTGCTAAAATCTGATTCATAAATGTTAAATAATTCATCGACAAGCTTGAAAATAATTCAATGTGCAACGCTACTTAATTGCGTGGGAGATTCTATCAATTTCGGTAAACTGATTTTAGAGTGAGTTTCAGTAATCGGCGTGGTTTCTGGTGGCGTGGGAGACGGCACTATTTTTGGAAGTCGTATATTTTTTGGGGACACTTTTCTGAGTGTATGAGAAGAAGATTTGTCAGGGCTTTTCAAACGCGGATTGTTAGGGTATTCCGGCGAAGTAGGAGATTTTATAATCTTTTCTTCGGCAACGGTTTTACTGTTTGCCAAATTTAAATTCTTTTTTACTTCACTCGCCACTTTCGCCGTCTCTTTGGACGACAAATTTTTTTTGGACTCAGTAGCTTCTTTAGCAAAACTGCTTCTAACCGCTTTTGGTGTTACCATAGAAGATGGTGATGGTAGCTTTCGTATTTTTGTTGGAGTGGTAGGCGGTGGTTGCGGTAAATTTTCCTTCAGTAATTCAGTAGAAAGGGAACTGACCTCTTCAACGGTTTCAAGCTGAAAAACACGGTTCCGTAATTAGTCTGGTATGTTTTGATATGTTTTCTCAATTTTCGGTGCTTATGTGATGCATATCTATAATTACAGTATATTCTATTTCATTAAAATGAAGTTAAATCCTAAAACAAAACATTATCTTCGATCACCTATATTTATAATTCAAATTTAATAGTAGCAAATAAAATATGCAATCTAGATTCAAATTTTGTTAATTTCAAACGTAAATTTATGAACAGAAAATAAAATTTTGTTAATTTCGAATGTAAAACTTAGAAAATAAAATCTGAAATTTAAATCTGTTTAAATTAGATTTTTAATCAATATAAGTTATGATATTATTGTTACTGTTTTTTAAGTATTGAATACAAATTCTCAGAAGTTACTTATGATTTAATTAACTATAAATAAGAAACAACATTGAAATAATATTATCTGTTCTCTGTTTGTGCATATTGAAAAATTCTTATAAGAACATTAGAGATACAATAATATTATATTACTGTTTTTTTTTTAGTCTAAAGATTGCAAAGTTTGTGCAGACTAACCTTGGTACACAGTGGCGGTGAAAAGTAGCGATCATTCTGTGTCCACCGAGTGTAGTATGTGAAGGTGAGGCACACACTCTGTGCGTATTAATTAACGCAACTGAAGTGAATGTACTAAATATAATTAGTACAGTTTTAAAGCTGAATCTAATATTTAAGACGTGTGCTGCGAGTAGTATCTACTGTACAAAAATTGTGCGACAGAATAGCGTTAATCGATATAACTTAGAACAAATATTTGTAGATTATTTATACAAAAATCTTGCATTATCTCTTGATCATTATACATAAATTCAGTATATAAAGCTATAATTTATAGTGCAGCAATTCAAATTTATCCTAAAAGTTACCAAATCATTTTCCGTTCTTTATTTCGCGTACATGAATCTCCTCAAACGATTTAACTAATCTACTTATCTAATCTACCAATCTTCGATTTATGTTTGCCTGAGTGATAGTTTTGATTTGTAGACGAATAAATGCACTACAACCTCGAGAAAGGATAATAAATATTGTATGTATCTATTAAAAAATGGCCGTAAATACACAGCAATGGGTTACATTTTCCAGTGTAGTGATGTGTCTTGTGTCTGCTCTTTTGACAAGCAACGAATTCTTTACAGAACAAACCTTCTGTCTAATTTCAAAGAATGGCACCCTCATACTTTTCAATCGTGTAAACAGGTACCCAGTAATCAGTGCGACGTTGTAGCTATCAATGTTAGAATAATAGTTTAATTATTCGGTATATGCCGACATTTCGATTCATGCTGTGTATAAAAAGCAATTGTTACATGTACGTCTACTTATCTACGACCTGGCAACTGCTTTGTGCAACTAATATACTAAGTTCTTTTGTTAATTATTTTCTGCACGCGAGATTTTGAATTCAATCGATTCGTAAATTGAAAAACATAATTAGAACATAATTAGTCTTAGAACACATAAGTAGTCTTCTGAAACTACTGATAGGTATGCGGGATGAATGTTGTATAAGTGTGTTCTATGAAGTGATTACTCATAGTAGTTGCAACAATTCAATATTATTTAATTTGTTGCCGGAATCGAGTCATTAATTGAATTGAAGTGTATAATAATCGATGTGGAAGCAATAAACATATGTTACATATTTTTCTAGATTGTATGAGTCGTTCGAAAGCGATGGCGATCGAGATTTTACTGAAACGTTCACTTAATCGATGTTATTTAATATTCATTCCTATTTTGTCATCCATTCGCAACTGTCTTATACTATCCATCTTATAGTAAACCAGCGACGAGATTTCATCGTTTTGTGTGTGTGTGCGCGCGCGCGCGCGCGTGTGTGTAATAAATAAGGGTAACATGTGTACCTACGGTATTGGTTATCAATTTATCGTATTCTATTATTCAAACGCAATGTGATTGCATGTCGTGTTTCCAGTTGCGTTTCCTCTTGGTTCTGACAACAAAGTTCAATTTAATGGATCCTCTAATGATCTAGGATGTAATTTGAACTGATGTAATTTGACGAAACAAATTCATCGTGAATCGGCGCCTCTCAAATGAATCCTATTTTTTCGAAATATATTTTCGCTGTTAATTCTAGTAACACCAGTCTAATTATGTTAAAGTCTATCGTAATGCTGCATTCGAAATATTGCTTACAGAAGACGATGAGTTCAATCACATGTTGTAACATATGAAATGGCCGTTGCAATAAATATATGTTTTTATTTAATTTCAAATAATTAATTTCAAATTGAATAAGCAATTTTATGAACGGATCGGAAGCATGTTATGCTCATCAATGCTGATCTCAAGTTCGTTGAATCATCATAAATCTTAAATGACTAGGAAATTATCGTAGCATCTCTGCCGAGTTTCCCTACAGGTGCGAAAAATTACCTTTTTTTTAGTTTCAAGGTTGCATCGCCTGATAAAACTGTAATAAAAAGTCAGCGACAAATTGTTCATTCACTTCGCGAATTGTTAATGGTAACTGCAACTTGGACCGAGTGAATGAGTTCAACTTTCAATATAGCTCATATATTGAAATAGGAAATCTGAAATTAATAGAATGTTATGGCTTGAAATGTTCATCGATTGCACTGCAAGCAAATAATGTCTTTATGTATAGTGTTGAAAGAATATAGAATGTTCGAACAGACAGTTACATATGTTTCAACTTCTTTAATAAAGGTTGTATTTAAAGGAGAACTTTGTATTCAGTTATCGTTAGAATCGATTATATTATATCGTACTTGTCAGTAGGTGATTATACCCTTACCATTAATTCTCAGAGTATCGAAATAACCACGAATGAATGCGCATGTGACGCGATATCAAGTGTAATAATGTAGTAATAATGTAGTGACGATGCTGAATATTACTGGATTGACAAAATTTTCTCATCCTTTTCCAATGTGACGCTTACATGAAGCACGCTCTATTAATCATAGTACAACTAATTTTTAAACTTCAAAAATTGCGAAAATATTTGTCAGCCAACAGCGCGTATATTTATATATTTAAATGAACTTTATCCAGATCGTAAGAAAGAAAGAAATCAATTTAATTCGGTGTTTGATAGTCTGAGAATTAAAGCAAGTTAATTTAACGGGTATGATGAATAACAAGGAATGTGAGAATTATTCAAGCGTATTATATCATGTACGGAGCGTACACAAGAACGGCGTTTCTTCGATGAAAACGTATTGTATCGTAAGATAAAACATGGTTTTATTGGAAACTTCATCTCGAATATACAATCGTTTATCGTTACTATGATGTTTTTATTTACTATACACTTTGAACTTAATTGTACAGTTCGCTCTATTAACGTATACTCCGCACATGCTTTTGATTAACAGTGATGCACAATAGTAATTCATTTTTTCTGTTTCAAACGACAACGCGTGCTTCATGGCCCGTCATTTTCTCGACGGAATAAAGCCGTCGGTCGTTTGGAATCGTTAATCGATATTATTTATATGCTCGTTCGTGTGACTAACGTCAGAATATACTTATAATTAGCATGGCAAGAGCAAAACTTGCACAATTATAGCCGAAAAGATTTATGCATCACCATATACAATGTGTCCTCTATAACTCAACTATTCTAAATACGAAGTATCTGGCTTTAACCCGGAAGTAGGCGAGTACGATGTAAGTGATCATTGCACGTACAGCGTTGACATTTGTTTTCGCGAGTCTCTAACGTTACAAACATAACACCGATAATTATTCACCGTTCGGTTTTCGTACGAATTGTCTTCAATTTTGCTGTAACCACTCATTCAACATCATCCTTTCCAACGAATCTGGAACAGTTTTCATACAATTCCGCGAACAAGGTACAGCAAATACGTAAAATGGCAAATACGTGGGAGTGTCGAAACTGAATACTGTTGCTTTAAAAATCAATATTTCACGAGTTTGCTATACCTCGCGCAGCAGCTGCTACTCTTACCCGCACTCGTTACCTTACACGTTCGATTGGAACTTCAAAGTTCGTTATTCAGACGATAAATTGTTATATTTCTTAAACGTTTAAATATCCGATGCCGTGCTCGTTACTTTGTCCCTTGCTTCTCTGACGACATACAGTACCGCTTGAAATTGTTCGAGACGCTCAAAAAACCATCCTGCCAGTTATCATATAATCTAGATTGACATTAACAGCTCAGAAGTTGTTTCAAAAGCATCCCCCTTCGTTACCTGCAAGTATAATTCACTCCATGCAATGTCAATGTACGATAAGAGGAGTGTCTGTTACTTTCCAAAAGCAAGATAAACAGTAAAATCTTCATTGATTATTGCTAGACTCCGGGTCATTATGCAATATAACAATTATCTGCAACAAATAGAAATCACTTAGAAATTTTCTTTTCTCAATAACCTTACAAAGAGGAGATTCCCCGGATGTCCATTTAGTTTTCAACTAACTAACAATTTTATAGTATTCCACCGTCTATTAACTAATACAAGTGTCATTCGCCCGGAGAATTCCTATCCGAACCTTTTTTACGCGATGTAGGAAAACTAAATTAATAAATACTTTTCATTTTACAAATTTTAATTCATAACATAATTTGTTGATCTGCATAATAATTAGAAGTGCATTAATGTGTATATTAGTATGTATATGAAGGAATTGTATAATGTCGTATATATACAATATACATATATACCAATGTATAACGGAAACGTATAATAAATAAGAAAATAAATAGCTTCTTGTCCGTACATACATTCATACATCTTCATTAAATACTATATTCAAACGCAATTCGATCTTTATCGAAGATAATGGTCAACGTCCACCGTTAGAACAGAGTCAAGTTTTTCTCTTCCTACTCACACGAATGCAGGAAAACTCAAAAAGTAGACAAAATTTACGGAAAAAGGTCATTTAAACTTTTACTCTATTTTTCTAACGAATATCAAATTTTCTTATAACACTATAACTTCTAATCATCAGTTTCTCAAAACTAATTGGACACCCGGGAACCTCCCTTATCAATATGTATGTCGAAAGCAACGTCTCGATACCCCTCGATTCTTTTAATTTCTCTTCTGTTTCTGTGCATAACATCCGCAATCTAGTTATCACAAACGATACCATACATCGTCCCAGAAACAAAGTGAACGTTTCCATGTGCAGGCTAACAGTGTGTGCGAATGTGTCGCAGGAAAGCTGAATGATTTTACGGCGAGGATCTACAGTGGCGCGATGTTCTATTGTTTCCCGTAACGATTCGTTAATTAGCATCAGATTCTCGCGTTTATTGTTACAGCACATACAAAGCTTTGTCCTTGTCTACGGGCTACCCTGTCGGTTTAACAAAAATACACCTACCCACGGGCTATGAGTCACATCACTAATCGATTTGAACATTGAGTCTGTTGCTATGCGATTCGTACGTTGCATACGTGTTTACGTGTTCGTCTCTTAGGGAAGTGATCTCGTGTTCCAGACCATCATGGGAAATGAGAACTCACATTTTCTAATCTATGTGTATCACGTGACCGCGTTTCCTTTTCAGATCGGAAAAATGTGATCAATGGGAACAATGGGCTGGTAAATGCAAGGACACTGGGATCTTATTGCGTTGCGTGTAGCCGTAAGCAAGGAAAGCGTTGCACTCTCCTAACTTTCGTTTGGTAGAAACACTTTCCCGTACTGGCGCTGTATAATAGTTTTGTAACAAAGTGAATAGCTTTATAAAAATCCACGGAACCGTGCGCGCGATCAGCGATCCGCCCCCGCGAGCGACGGAACTTCGCTGAATTCTATACAATGAGATGAATAGTACTGTCCGTTCGTACGGATTTTATCCGCATTTTCGCGATCTGAAAAAGCATCGCGAACTGTCCCTCTCTCGTTCCAACACTGTCCTCTCAGTTATCCGATTCTGTGTTGTCGTTCCTCCTAGCGTTCGGCTCGTCCACGCCGAACGAGCCGGGAAACCAATGATCGTGAACTAACGATGCTGTTAACGAGTACTTTGTGGATAAATGCGTCGGTAGGACGAAAAAACTGATTCGTCGTTACGTAGGTGGTTGCCATATCACGCTCGAGTCACGTATAATGCATCGTGCAACGTTATCGATCGGAAGGGCGCGCACGTACGAGGAAGAAGACTCCTGCCGCCCTTCACAGCGCTCTCTTTTTTCACCTTGTTTAAAATCACAACTTCGTCGTGTAGAAAAGTTTGTTTTATTCTCTTGTTCTTTTTTTCGTTTCATTTCTTTTTTTTTTGTCTTTTTTTGGTTATGGCACGGAAAAATTGTTGCAGTCGTGTGTGGTTCTTTGAAAAACAGTGACGATGTTTAAAGATCGCGCGGCGCGTTACGTTTGAAATTAATCCGATTGCTTGTTCGTCCTCATACGTTATTTCGTTCCTGACCCGGCGAACGGGTCGACGCAGCCCTTTTGATCCGACCATCGGGGTAGAAAAATATGGGGTGATTAATTAGACGCAAATGACACGAAAAGCGAGTTTAGCGGTCGAGCTTTCGTGATCTAGCATTCTTGGTTCAGGTTCTCGTCCGAAGTAGGCAGATCGTTCTTGATGTCGGCGATCGTGCCAGGGGGCACGGGGCTCTGCGGGCATAACATAGTTATCTGGATTAGGGTGGCCCGCAAGGTCGTGTTAGTTTCGATCACGTTAACCCTTTGAAGCATCGAAGTTTTATGTTGCTGCTGTACAGTACGCTTTGTCGACGCCGGTGTATTTAGACGAACCGTTCATATATATGTCAATTTAATGTGGTTCTCTTATTATTCAAGAAATTTACGTTAACGTAGAGAAAGACTGGAAAACTAAATGAAATACGATAGAAATATTTGCAGATCTTGAGTAATGCCTAGTAAATATTTTTAGAAAAGAACATAATTGAATTTTAGTATTGTATCATACAAATAGAGTATCAAACAGAACTGGGCAAAATACAAAATTGAATATGTTTGGAAACAATTACTAATTTTACAAAGTTAAAATAACAAAGTATATAATTTAAACATGACATGAGCTTCAAAATTTGTTTATATATGATAATATATACAACAATAAGAGATTTTAAAAGGTAATTATTCAGTTATAAATTTAACACCAGGTTGGTACAAGGAATAATGTCCGAATTCCTTTCTTTTATATTTTATAAATGACATAATATAAAAATAATATCATTTTCATGCTTATTTATGTTCCAAAATTATTTGCAAAACACAAAGCGAAAAAATTCGATAATTTTTTCGTACAACAATCTTAAAAAAGACCGCCACAATCGTTTGTAAACATTTGACTCCACTCCATTATTATACAATAATGTAAAAATAAAGCTATGGAGGTGATATACACCTTAAATATTACTGCTTTGCAAGCTAAAAATGAAATTATTAAACATAGGTACATCTCAAGGTTGTATTGCGGTGACGCACGTTAGTCATTACTCAGATATTTTATTTTTTATAACTCTCCCTGCATAATATAACATTTCCAATACCTCGTGATGTCTTCACGCATTAATTTGACATATTTATAAATATTCACAAAAGTATTTTTGTGTTACATTTGTATAGTTTGCATTCCAGTTCATGGCACTTCTTTCTCCACAATTATAATTACATTATACTATTTAATACCATTAAGATCAATTGATTAATATCATTTCTGCTTATTTAGAGAAAAAACACAAACAGTTCGATCGTGTTGACGAATTTCTCAAATATTTAACGATTTAAACAATAAGTATACGTGTTTCAGTTTTACCTATTCCAACTTTTGTAACGGAATATACATGAAACATTTTATCGTATAGTATCTTTTTGTCGTTGT